TCTGAGAGTGTTTGTGAAATCATTAAATCTCAACAGAAAATGATGGAACGACATCACATTATGGCATTGGGACAGATAATATTAACTACAAATACTAGTGAAGGCAAACAAACTACACAACACCACGTACAGAATCATGCGAGCACCAACTCCACACCGGAGGTTTACTCCTCATGTAGTACGACAGAACAACCTAATAGTTGTTTTTTTTTTTCTTCCTCAGGTTACTGCTTCGTGTTCACTCAAGAGTCTATCAGCTCTGACAATGCGCAGCTCCGCTCACAACTATGTGTTTGTGTGTTTAGAAGGTGCAGTTCAGTTTGTACTGTACTTTGTGCCGAGATGAGAAAGGTAATGCGCATGTTTGTGTGTTTATTATTCTTTCTTGTGCATGTGTGTCTCCGTGCATCTGTTGGACTGAGCAGGTTAATGCTGGTTGACACATGCGGTTCACTGATCTCCTGGAGGAGTCGAGACTCGCAGCAAAACCTTCACACACAGGTATCCATGGCAACCACAAAAAATTATATTTCTTCCTTCCCCGGCAAGCTGGAGATTCCAAGATGCTGAAATGCACAAATACATTGTCATTACATGGCTGCCTCATACTTAACAGGGTTAGGCTTTTGCAGTGTGCTGTGCTCATTGTTCAGTGTTGCCTACACATGTAATTTAGAAATTCCTCCTGTTACCTTTTTCCCAAAAGAAATTCCATACTATCTTTACATGCTCTTTGCCCATGCAAGGCTCCTTTCCTTACATTCCATCCATTCATTGCCATTCTTCTGTTTCTGCATATTTTCTTTCTTAACTTGGCTCCGAGATGTGAAATATCAGACTTTGTCATTGAACTGAAGCAACGGCAGCCAGAAAGGCAGGACATTATCAAATATTAACGACACTTTTACATGTGTTCCTGCTTGTATTTGGTTGTTTGTGTGTATTGAAGGCCTTGTAGTAGCGATGATTGACAGATGATGGGGAATAAAGCTCTGGTCGATTCCACTATCTTCTTCTGTTGTTGCTGACAACTTCTGGTTGATTGCACAATGATTAGCTTTTTTTTTTTTTTTACTCACTAACAATACATATTTATGGAAATGAGTTTAAAGTCTGGATTCCAACAATATAAAACCGTATATCCACTCAATATATTGTTGGTACAAAAAGAAGTAGAAAAACAAATCACTTTGTTATCTTTGCAACTTCAAGACCTGCACATTAAATATCGTTCTGAACAATTTCTATGAAAAAGTGCATATTTTGACTACATTGTACCCAATAGGTGCACTAATACTGGAGCCGAGCGCATGCCTGCTTTTTCATCTCTTTGAGGGGAAATAGGAATAAGCACATTGTGTCCTGCACCACATTCCTGAACAAGCAGAGGTTCAATCACATTTGCAGAAGTTATCAAAACTTTCAAAGAGCTCAGCTGGCGCCTTAAGCCACAGGAAATTCACTGGGACATCTGGAGGGATGTGTGCAGATTATTGCTCATTTAGTCTGTTCTAGACATCAGTAGGAAGAGGACTGAAATGGCTAAACACACGCACAGACTTGGAGATGCGCACACACTCAGACGGGCTCGGCTTTTTTGGCAGATGTTACCGCGGGCGCACACAACACACCTGAGTATAATCCCCCCATGATGCCCTCTGGTCGTTTTGTCCTATCCCCTCGCTGCTCCTGCCCCAGCTCCTCCAATCAGAGGACAGGTCAGGTAAAGTTTGCTTACATGTCTTTAGCCCCGTGTTTGAGTGAGCGGATGTGAAATATAAAATATGTTGAAAAATCACACTGCTTGGTGTTTTTTTATTTTTTTTATTTGAGTCTCTTGTCATTTAATAACCTTGCAGTTTATGTTCAGTCAGGGTATATTTCTGAAAAAAAGCTACTCCATTGTGCTTCGCGGAAAAAAAACAGATTTTTTGCGAAAGACAGTTTTAGAATATATGTAATAAAAATGGTTTAAATACATCAGGAGCACAAGCTGATGAACATTTAAAAAAAAAAGAGAGAGATTTATACATATAAATAAATAGATTGTATCAAAGTGTGTAATATTGAAGAATCCACCCACCAGCTCTCTGACTGTATGAATGCAGGCTATCAGCGATATATTTGTTTCAGATGTGGTGGAGGAAGCATGGCTTTTTGAAGTTACCGAGTAGCACAACCTTTATTGACATGCATCATAAGATATAAACCTTTTTCTGTGTGTTTTCCTGATCTCTCTGTTTTCTCTTCCAGGCTGCATGCATTGGGGTGAACATATAGATCATGTATATATCCGATATTATCCTGGGTCTTAAGAACACAAAAGAAAAGGCCAAATTCTATATATTCCCAAACCGGTGCTGCCCCATCTTTCTCTAGGTGTGAAATACAAGCAGACAAAACCTCAACACCATGATAAAAGCTCAGGAAATTACTTCCTTATTTTAGGTGTGATTGATTGTCCCCCTGACCTGTTAGACTGAAGAGGTGGTTAAGAAGAAGAGGCAGACTAAGATAATTGGGCCCGGTGGTATCCAAAGCCCGGCAGGTGTTGAAAGAACTCTCATAATACAGGTACCTGCAGCGGCTGCAGCCCTGAACTTCAGCACACCTAGGATTTCACTACCTTGGAGGAATTTTGGTGTTTTATGTTTGGCATGTCTTTTATTGAATAGATGAAATATGAGATACTTGTAACTCGTATTGACGTATTGGACATGCCACAAGAAAAAAAAAAAACAACAAAAAACAAATATACAGGTGTCAAAACTCCTCTGAGGTGTCAACAAATAAATGGTGCATTTTTTGTTTCATCTTTTCTTGGCATGAAAATAATGTCATTCGCTCTTTGAAAGTGATGTCAGTTGTTGGAAATATCTCCCCAATACAAGAGGGATGTAATTCCCTTACCTGTTGAAAAGTAGGTAAAAGCTTACACCATCAGCAAGACGGATGGGAGAAGGAATTTTGTTGAAGTGTAAAAGCACAGGTGTTTTTACTCTTTAATTTCATTAGTCATTCATGGAGCTCTCCGAGTCCTTCTAGCCATTTCAAATGAAGAGGTAAAAGCCAGGCATAAGCTTAAATGATAACATTCTTTCTCAGAGAAAAATATGCATGTACTATCCTTATTATTATCTGCAAGCCAAGGGCTCTGTTCCAATTAAAGAATACCACAGATGGACCATTCAACAAGCATGCACACAAACGAACCTACAATAGGTACAGTAAAGTACCCAGTATTACAGAGCCAAGAGAAGAGCTTTTTACTTTAAAAACTATTTAATCAGGAAAATCAACGCCTCACATCAAAGAAATGGAGATGAGGGACAGGCGGATAAAGAGGCTCATCAAAGAAGGAGATCTTGTTAGGGATTCAACGCCCTAATTCCCTTTCTCTTAAAACCATCGTCAGAGGGGGCACAGGGCCAATTTGCTCCCTAAATGGCTGCGTGTGAATGTGCAGATTGCTTTGCATAGCCGCTGGGAATCTGGGCTTCTTCCTCTTTTTCTTCTCCACACGGAGCCTGTGAATTAGAAAAGATCCAAAGACAGATAGGCTTAACTGAGCCCTAGCTACCTTCCTTAAGTCCAGAGCCCTGTTCCAACTTCCAACTAATTCAATCCATGGCCTAACTCAATTAATAGACTTTAATGCAATGTTTCTTCTTTATCTTTTCTCTTTCCTGGGGATTGGGGACTTCAATTAGAGTTGTGGAGTAATATCAGCAAAAAGGTTTGGATTGTACGTCTGTCTGAATGTTAAGACAATGACATGTCCCCGTGGCATTAAGGTTGATCATATATGCATCCTTAATCTCAAACATCTCCTTAATCTCACTTTCTGGGACTTGCTTCACATTAATGTAATGTAGTGCATTAAATATTGACAACCAGTCTTTCCTGTCTCTGGCTTTATATGCATTAGTGTAGGATTCATTAGTCAAAATGTCCTTGATGTGAAAGAGGAACTCCGCGTATCCACGTGATGAGCCTTTTGTTTTTACATAATATCAAAGCAATGAGGATCTCGGATTGTAACCCCACCTTAAGGTATACATTTACTTTCTGTCCACCGAGAGCTACTTTAATGCTTCTATAGGTGCTTTAAAGAATACAATTCATTAATTTTGGCCTTGCATTACCACCAAGGACATACACTCCACAGACCTGCGCAAGTTCTAGGAGAAATAAAGATCACATTGGTCAGTAGCATAAATAATTTAATATCGGCTCTGCCAGCGCACCCACCCGGTATTCTTCAGGGCATTCACGTACCTCATGAGGACAAATATTTCATGCTTTATCCTCTCTGGCCAACAGAAACATTAACCTCATCTGCCTGCAAATGCATCCTTCTGAGCCACTGGATCTGAGACCTGCTCCCCCTGCAATAGGCTTTCTATCACGCCTGCAGTTCCGATTGATCGTCTTGGCAATCAGCAATTAAGCACTAGTGATCAGAGCAGGAGAAGGGAGGGGGGGTGGGGAGGGTGAGAGGGAGAGGTGGGAGGTAGTCCTCCCCCCGCCCCGCTCCTCTCTTGTCAGCCCAGGAAAGGCTTCACTCAGCTGGGGTGAGTTTGGCCCGGGGCTGGGCTCACTGGTGGAGGTTAACTCCAGCATAAATAAGCATCTTTGGACTCATTACAGGGATTAGAGAGTAATTCGCCTGCGAGGAAGGAGACGACTGCCAGGGTTTTGGTACAGTTTACTACAGTCTTATAGGGGCGAGGGCCCTGGAGATTACAGAGGGAGAGAGATGGAAAGGCAGCAAAAGAGAGAAAGGCCAAGGGAAAAGAGAGGCTGGCTGTCAAGTGTGTATGTGTGTGTGAGTCAATCCAAGCCCCCGGCTGCCCCCTTGATCTTGAGCATGTTGGGGTGCTGTGAAAACGGATAATGGGAGTTAGAACGACCAGGCCTGTCTAGAGAGAAGTGTGCTGATTGTTATAACTTTCCCTCATCTCTCTCTCCTCCACTTAACTAAATAAACACCCAAGAGGTAGCACTCTATCAATTTTAATGATGTTGAAATACAATTTAGGCACAAAATACACAACAAATGCTAATTTGGCCATGATGAGAGGCATCAGAAATCCCTCCCATTATTTATTCAGCTGACTTTCTGCATTTTTCATCAGAACAAATATTCCCATTTCAACAAACACACACACACACACACACACATACACACGCCAACACAGAGCCAATTTGGAGCATAAATCAACACGCTCACTCATCAAATATATGCTCTCTCTGGTTCTCTGTAGTCTGTCCAGTGCACCAAAGACAAATAGTTCTGTCCAAAGTCCAGCCAGAAAAACAGAAGGGGCAGAAGACTGTCAATATATGTGCACATACATTAAACATAGCAGCCCGATGTGTGTTCAGAAAAGACACAGACATCATAAAGATAAGTCCAGTCATGAACTCATACATGACTAAATCTTTCTCGGGCTGCTCAAAGAACAGGACAGTGATAAATGTTAAATATATACTGGATTTTATTAAAACACAGTAAACTTTAAGATGCATTTACATAACGGCATAGGTGTCTTCGCTGAAATTTCACAGTAGATTTATAACAATTCCACCACAGCAGGACGTGATCATCACCTGCCAATCATCTCCACTTCCATCTTGACCAGCTCAGGCTGTCCTGCTTCTGCACCACATTTGGGACAAGTCAGGTAGGCATCTGCAATACTGTGGCTTTTAATGCAGTAGTAGCAGAAAACATGCTGGCAGCCCACCGTGTGAGGCATGGTCGGCCACTCCCTGCATAGTCCACACTCTTTCCATATCTCTTGCCTTTCTCTTGCTCCCTTCCCATCAGGACTTTCTCCCCCAAACACAAGTGAAGACACCGTTGCCTTCAGTTTTCTTGTGTTGATCAGTGGCAACAGGAAGATGAGGAACTCGGCAAAGCCGTGCCACAGCAGCTCCCGGTTCATGTACTGGTAGGTCACATCTCTGACCACATTGGGCTTACTGAACACCGCCTGAGCTCCTGTGATCCTTTCAGCTAGGACAGGATGTCGACCATTCCTCAGAAACACAAGGAAGTTGATGAGACTTGCGAACTTGGTGATACTAGAAACAATGGTCAGGGCATTGCGGAGACCCTGCTGGAGCAAACCACCATCTCTTTCAGAAGTGGGTCCTTGTGAGCTCAAACCCAAGAACGGCAGCAGCTTGTGGGAACGCTCCTGGAGCCACTGGGGACCTGCAGTGAGCACGGCCAGACTTAACTTCTGCCTTGGGGACAGAGTCCTGTAACGGGGAGACAAGGAATATGTGCTGTGATAGCGCAGGCTCAGTAACGACTGGCCCACAGTGGCGCTGCTAGAATACAGCGTGAACCTCCACACGAGCAGATGAAGCAAAGCCCTCAGTTCAGGCTCCAGAGGGGTGAGCAAGCCCGGGCGGCAGTTCTGGAAGCACTGGGAGAACTGGGTCCATACTAGCTGTTCCAGGGCTGAATCTAGCTCGAGGGCATCCAGCTGGCTGATGCGCAGCACCGGCGTCTGCGGGTCGACATCAGGTTCCGGACCCCAACTTCTGACTGTCCGCTGTTGGTTGTTGTCGCTTTTTAGACCTGCTGGAAAAATAACAAGTATATATATATACGCATCAATAAGTGTTGCCAAGATTTTCAAGTAGGGACAGGTTTACAGTTCAAGCAACTGAGCTCTTTTTACAGCCTGAATTGTATTTTTGTTGAGTGTGTGCCATTATTTCCAGATATTACGACGATGCATTCATGAAATTATTTTTGACAGAGCAAACTTCACTGTGCTAAAATATACAAGGACAACCACACAAATGATTAGATAGGTTTTAAATAACAAATTGCAGAGGAGGAAACAAGCCTCCAAGAAGGGCCAAACTGCAAAAACAAGATCCAGGTTGAAAAAAACTGCCAAAAACTAATAAATGTCTCATGACTCTACATTATTAAATATCGTACTAATATAAGGAAAGGACTACATTTGATCTGTTTAAGTCATGAACAAAATATATACAGAGGCGCCAATATTAAAATACAACTTGGTCATTGGGAGGATTGAGGCCCTGGAGGTGAAGCCCATCCTGTTAGGAAGGTTATTTTTTCTTTATACATAGGAACGGAAATCACTTTTCACATGTAAAACCCGTCCTTAATGCAACCTTTGAGCTGCGCCATGCAGAGGAGCAGGGGGTCTTAGACTGCTTTCTCCAGTGTATAAACACACACAATCCTACACACACACACACACACACACACACAGACACACACACGCACATACACACCTAGGAGGCGAAACCCAGGGGCTCTTGGTGCCTGCTCCCTCTGGAGATAGGGGTGTGTGTACAAATCACATCACTAGGGATTAGGCTAACGGCACAGTCTCTGGTACACCATAAACATCTGCCAAATGTGGAACAATTTTCCTCCCCCTAGATTCGACTCCATATGGGAGCTCACCATTGTGACGTCTGGGCTATTTTGCGCCGCATACGTTTCCAAAGTGCTCACAGTTCTCCAGTTTTATCTGCCCCTTTTCCTCAAATGAAATGCTTAAGAAGTGGAAGACTAACTAACGCAGAGAGAGACAGAGCAGGAAGGCCACAGAGAGAGAGAGACAGTGAGGCCTTTTTCTGACAGTGGCTTTTGTGTCTCGCCGAACAGGATTTGTCACGAGGCTTTAAAAGAGATTTCAGCTGGGTAAATATGGCAGTTTTGACAGAAAGAGAGAGAAATGATGGTCACTTAGACGTTCCTCGAGGAGGTAAAAAAATAAAAAATAAAATAAAAATTTTACATGCAGTGGCAATGCTTGGGTTTATTGTGGTGCACAGGACCATCTGTGTATTCAAGATGTTTCAATAGAGCCAGGATACACCATCCAACTAAGTTAGAATTAGCAAATGAATGAAAAAAGAGTGAATTCACGCTGAAGTAAGCAGGTATGACAAATTCATTGAGCTGCATTTGAAATGCTGCCATGTTTAGTGACTAGAACCTCGCCTGCGACGGGAGAAGAGTTGTGGATTAAAAAAGAAAAAAGAGAGGTAGTCTGAATGTGTATGCTAACCAATAAACAGGCTCTGTTTGTTTAGCTTAATCTGAAAGTTTTTCCTTGATGGGAGAAAATGTGCAGATTATGTCCCTGTATGTGTGTGTGTGTGTGTGACTCTGTATGTATGTCAAGGATAGCCTTGATCTATGCAGAGCTCTAATACAGCGCACAGCTAATCTATCAGTCCACAGTTACACACACACACCCACACACACACACACACCGCCAGGTGGTGGAAATCCCCGTCACAGCAGCAGCTCTCTCGGGAGAGTAAACCCGGCCGGGTCCAATAGTCTTTTCAAAGCCTTTTATCGAGCAGTTTACAAGTTATGAATGAATATGTTTTATTTGGGGAAACACGGTATTGACAACCACCTATCAATAGTAATGTGACTATTGTCAAGGGTCTGTCAATATTAATGTAATTATGATGTAGAGGGATCAGAGGGATGCTGGAGTCGGGGGCCAAGTAACATCTCCTGCCCACTGCCATATCAATAGCTGGGATTGCTATTGACAGCTTCCCTTCAGACTTGCAGCACTTGCCAAATATATAACAAGCAGACACTTCAGTCAATGCTGGGCTGCCTATAAAAATTAAGCATTTGAATTTACAGGGCTTTTACTGTGGACAGCTGGAAATCCATGTTCCTTATGTAATAGTCAAAAGTCACAGTCAATGCCAGTGTTTACAGAGTAATGACACGGTGTGTGTGTTGGAGGACAGACAGTAGAGCATTTGCACACAAAAAGTATACAGAGATACAAGCAGAGAGAGTCTTTCTCTGATGTATTCACACACATACGCACAGCTGATGCGAAATATTGACTTGATAATTCTCTTGTGGGTCAGCCAACCAACCGACCGAGAGACAAAATGCCCTCTTTTGAAGAGTTGGTGGCTGACAACCAACAGAGTCAGAAGGCATGTTAGAAGAGTTCAGTGAAAATCAACAGAAAAATCACCTGAAAATTCTGAGGTCTTGCTGTTCTATCAGAGCTGTATAAAATACTTTTAAAAACATATTCCTGGGAATGTTAAAGGGTATTTTGATTCAGGTCAGATGAGAGTTTTATTTTTTTTTTTCCCTCCCCTTGTTCCCTTAGCTTGTGCATCTTGTTCAGACAAAGATAGCGCACTGACTCAAGGCTGACTGCAATAGCTTACAGACAACAACAACAACAATATCCAATCTAACAGGGAACACACTGCAACATCGCTTCAAGGCAAAAGGGGCCATGACCAGTGTGAGGAAGGAGAGACGAGGCAACAAAAGCATACCGAGCATAAGTCTGAAGCCTCGAAGCTGCACTGGGTCCTCTGAAAATTAGACAACGGGCTGTAATGACAGCTACCCAACAGAAAGATGGATAGACAAAGAGACAGACGAAAAAGACAAGACACGTCAGACAACACGTCATAAAACCGCCAGCTGCTGCTAACTCTGAGCCGCCGTCTACTGATACAGTGGAGGAAAAAAAAACTGGGTGAAAAGATGGCTAAGGAGAAAAAATGAGGGCGGGTAAAACAGTTAAGCTCGAACCTCTCCCTAGGAGCTGACCTTGAGACTGACGGTCACAATAAAGGAGGAGGGAACATTCCTGAAGCATGCACGGCTCAGCCACACTGAGGTGCGGGCATCCAGGGAATAGCCTATAGACAGAGGAAGGCTGCGCTTTCTTTTTGACCTTGGCTTTGGTGTCTAGGGAGGGGGTAAGGGTGTTCAGGGCAGGGGACTAAAGACTGGGGGATGCTGGGAAGACAGAGTGCCTCGGAAGGATTGTGTTTTGCTTTTTCTGCTGCCGAGGTGCTGTGAAGCCGCTTCACAAGGCGATCATTCCACGCCAGTCGGAAACTGCGTGGCCAAAAGTCTCGGTTTAGCTCCTCATATAGTGTAGCGCTCAAATTCCTAAGCACTTAGCTATGGTTGTTAGCATAATGTATTTGCTGAAATAATGCATAAATGTTCACTTGGCTTTCTGTGATACTTGTAGCGAGAAATAGGCTATGCATTGGCAAAGCACGCTGGATTACAACTTTACATTTTCTTCTCTCGCTCATGTAAATTAATTTGTGTAAAAGCTCTGGTGGATAAAACCTATTTCTCTGAGCACTCTAGCCCTGTTTTTTTTTTTTTTCCTCGCTCCCGCTCCCTCACTTTATTGCCCTTCTTTCGCCAGGAACGAGTGCGGGCCTATTAGCCAAGGCTTGCTAATGTCCTCACTATGAAAACGGATGAGAATGTCAGATTTAGAACTTTTAAGAGAGTGATGTCATACAGCAGACCACAGGCATTACGGGGACACTAAGATTACCCAGGCGGTAACCAGACTAATTGTTATGAGTCTGTTTCATGAAAAATGAATGTGTGCAGATGCACAGAGGGGTCTTCAGGCTGTGTGTGTATGTGTGTGCATCACACACTAATGCTTTATCAAGGCTCTCCTCTTTCTCTAATCACCCAAGACTCCTCCGAGCCATGGGGTGAGAGCCAAGTTAATGCCTGAACACAAAAAAAATACACATCAGTTAGAACAGCACATCTGACACACAAAAATGTGCTCCGCTTAATCTGGTTTGCTCAGAAGGTGAATTATTTAAAAGAATTAATTGATTTCATGAGTACGAAGGTTGAGTATGCTAAGGCTGTATGAGTAATAAGTACAAGGGTTTGCAGAAAACAACTTAAAAAGTCATGAAACATTTAAAGGGCAGAGAGGCACAATGAACGTGGAGGAAAAAGCAGAACAGCTAATAAATGAGAGAACTGAAGTTGTGTCTTTTTTAAGAGTCAATGAGAGAGCAACTCATGCAAATAAAATATGTTATCCTGAGGAATATTTGATCAGCACATTTCTTAACCTCTCTTTATCCATGAAAAATGTAGGGATAATAAAAGAAAAATCATTTTGTCTATTTTTTGAATCTGTGCAACAACTAAAATGTGTGTGGGTGCAGAAAATGCGAAACTGAGGGGAAGCTGCTCTTTGTCTCTTGCAAATCTATGAGAATGTGAAGGCTACCGCAGGATGAGAGATTGAAGAGTTTCCTAGTCAGACTCATGTTACAAAGGTTATTTTTAAGAGATCCTCATTCATCTGAAACAGGACGTTTAATGCCTTGATTTCCTTCAAATTAAGAAATAATGTGCCTGGCAATGTTCACATTACATCGAGTGCATTTCATGTGTGCAAAGAAATTGGAAAATATGATAAATGGGATTTATTAATCACAATTAACTTAGCATGCTGGTTATTTGGCAAATATGCTACACTGTCAATGTAAAATAATCACTAGTTTTGTGCATGCCAGTTCCTCTTAGTTTATGCAGACCACTAGATTGTACTTTAATATTGAAACAACACATGAGATAATCAATGGTAATCAATGATCATCAATACAATACATTCCCTGATATGTTGATTAGAGCTATTGGCATTTTTTCTGTTCTTATTACTTAAAGTAAATACTTCTGTCATTTTTCCCCCTCCCCCTTTTTTCACAAAATAGTATGTAAAATTGAAAAGATTTTGTAAAACTGTAGAATAAATGATCTTGGGTGGATTTCTTTCCAAAGAAGATCACAGATAAACCGTTTACCTTTACTGCTGACCAATACTGAGGGGAAAAAATGAAAGAAAGTTGATGTTTCATCATATACAAGGTGGCGCAGTTGGTAGCACTGTTGCCTCGCAGCAAGAAGGTTGCCGGTTCGCGTCCCGGTGGGGGCACCGGAATCTTTCTGTTTGCATGTTCTCCCCGTGCAGCGTGGGTTCTCCTCCCACACAGTCCAAAAACATATTGAGGTTAACTGGTGATTCTAAATTGTCCGTAGGTGTGAATGTGAGTGTGCTTGGTTGTCTGTCTCTAAGTGTGGCCCTGCGATGGACTGGCGACCTGTCCAGGGTGTCCCCTGCCTTTGCCCTAAGTCGGCTGGGATAGACTCCAGCCCCCCCGCGACCCTAGTGAGGATTAACGGATGTATAGAAAATGGATGGATGGATATATACATTGTGAATTTTCATCAGATGACTTGAAAAATTCTGTTTGGAAAGAATTAACCATTCTAGTAGCATTGGAAATATTTTGAAAATAAAAAAATATTTTAAAATGTGATGAAAAAAGTAATTTCAAACCTTTTTCATATGGTGTAACAGGAATGGCAGATACTTCTGAAATAGTTTTTTGCTTTGGATAGTCTTTAGATCTGGCGCTGCACTCATCATTCAGAGCACTGTGGTGCTCATATAAATGAAATAAATGGTAAAACAAATCAAAATAGTTGTGTTGGCTCATGTAGAGGCAATAATTGCAAGATCCTTCAGACAGACTTCCTGTTTCTGGTCAACATCACAATTTTGGTAGCTAAAATATTTCCATGCAACAAACACTGCATTTCTTTTTGCACCCATTCCTTCCTTTTTCTTCCTGCGCCTCACTCGCTATGCACATGTGGAACCTGCATGTCAACGCACTGTCTTGTATAAAAAAACAACAACAACAAAAAACAAAACAAAACAGTAAATCTAAGAACATTAAATCAGAGCAAGTTAGTTAAAGCAGAAAGAATTCTTTTCTGGATTTGTCATGGAAAGTGAAAACAGAGCAAGCTTTCTTTATGTAACAGGCTTAAAAAAGTTGTAGCACGATGTCTTACAGTTAGTTTGTCCTACTTCACATTTTGCCCCCTGTGATGTGACTCGCACATGCGCACATCACAGTGCTGATGGTGAAATGATATATTGTGCAGCCCTACTGGCCTGCATCTGAAAACTGTATAAAATGACCTCATGACCCCACAGACCGATATCACAGTTCAATTTAACTTCTGCGACTCCCTTAAAAACACACTCATCAAACTAAGTGTTTAGTTCCAGAGGCATGCGCCCAATACTTCAATCTCATGCAATCAGCTGCTGCACATTCTCCTTATAATGGCATTGTCTACTTAATTTTTTTTTTTTAGCTCATGCCCATCAGTCTTTAACAACAACAAAACCCAAATCTGCTCCATTTTGATAATAAGGCAAGAGCATTATGTGATAATCACAGTGGGGATTAGGTTTTGGCAGAGTGTGTGAGAGCAGTACAGTCAACGCCACTGGAAAAGAGAGATATAACCAAGAGACAGATAAGAGTAGAGGAGTGATGATTGGGATGAGAGAAATGAAGTGAGTAGTCTCCTGAAAATCAATAAGATCAACTTTGCCTTGAATCTCAATGTGGAAGGTTTTGATCTCTGGCAATGATTATTTAGGGGAATAATGGACTTATATGCGGAGCTGCAGAACATACTCTTGAAGGAGCACAAGGCTGCCGTCCAAAGTTCATTTGGTATAAACCTGGACAATACACATAATGAATACTAACTCAGATTTGGCTGATCGTTTGAACCGTATCAAGTATGTATTATACACATCGATAGACATCAATAATTTATTTGAAACATGCAGCCAAAGGGTTAACAAACAGAAAGCACACTGATACCAGACAGCAACACACCGTGATTTTTTTACACTGTTTAACAAAGCAGAGGAGCCGCTTTTCTGCTTCATGTGGAAATGCGGCGACCCGGGAGAAAATAACGCGGACATACGTCTTCTAAACAACGCAATGAATACATATTTACCCATTTCTTTCCAGCTGAAAAGGGAACTCAGTGGAACACAGTTCTTCCTGACACGATAAAAACAATCCGTTGTTCCGGGTTGCTCCGCTACAGCCCGCCTCTTGAAGCAAACTCACCAATGGTGTGCGGGAACGTCACGATTAGGAAGCCCGTGATCAGATTTAGCCAATCAGAGCACGCAGCGCCAAAGCAGGCAAAAACCGGAGGGGGGAACGCGGCTGTTCGTTTGGGAATAATTAATGTACAGTCCTTCGTTGTGGTAACGACACATGGCGACCAAATTGTTGGTGAAGCAACGGTAATTCACACAAAGTAACACAGATAATGTTTTATGTGCACTCAAAATGCCAGGCAGTTGGCTTTTTCAGTTTTTTCAGTTGTCCAGTAGTGTAAACTGTAAGCCTGTTTTAAAGATTTAACCAGAGTGACAGCACTTGACTATGACTACGAACTAGTTCGCCTTTTTCAAGCCTAAATGCATTCCGTTTAAAACAAACAACGTAGGGGCTTTACTGGAGCCATGCCAGCGACTTGCACACCAGAGTCAGGGGAAAACTCGGAGGTGTCGGGACAGGGGGGTGATACTTTGAACCTGCCCTCGCCCTCGGGAGCAACAGAGCTGAAAGTAGCCGACCGAAGTCCTGGGATGGAGGCAAACAACATTAAACGACTGCTTAACGAGTTCAAAGGACTTCACGAGCAGAGACTGAGATGCCTGCAGGTGGACACCACCGTGTCAAAGGAAGCGCTCCTGCAGGTGAGCAGCGCTTTGAACAGATGTTGTCACACAGGTGTTTACAGCAGGTAGCGTGGCCGAGCGGTCTAAGGCGCTGGATTTAGGCTCCAGTCTCTCTGGAGGCGTGGGTTCGAATCCCACCGCTGCCATTATGTCCCTTGTTGATCCTAACACGGTGTAAAGTGTGATTAACTCCTGTTGAGGTATGCACGCCTTTCCATTAATCTGAAGTGACCTGAAAATGTTATGAATGAGCACTTTGGTCAGTTTTCCATACACATTGTGACAGCAATCTTATGGCAACCGTGTGTGTTATGTTCACTTGCAATAACAGACAAACATGCGCAAGTGATGAAGCCTTTTTCCACATTTCTCCAATAACTCAAAAACATCACAGAGTGCAAAGATAGTTTGCTGCCAAAATCACAAATCACCTTTCTTTTTTTGCTATAAGGCTAAAAACTGACATCTCCATATTAATAAAACTTTGCTGCAACATAAACAGTTTAGATTAGTTTAATACTCACCAAAAAAAAGAAAGAATGTAATCTGTTTTTTGTTTTTTTTTAACCATATGACATGAACACGAATTGAAGTTTAGTCTGTTGCCCCCAGCAGTTTGTATGAGTCTTTCTTCTGAGTTTATGAAATGCCTGCAGCATCAAACAACTGCAGGATCCATATAAGCAAGAGAGTTGCGCGCGTTTGCTCACGTGAAACAATAGCGCCTGTAACTTGATAAATTATCCTCGTTATTACTTTGTGTTATGCATCATGCGACTGATGAGTATCGTGTGGATACCGTGGTTGTTTAGGTCACTGTGGTGGGTATATCTGAATTTTTGGAAAAGTGAGCTGTATGATGACAGAATGTAGGCACATTAACAGACTGATGAAGTCAGCAATGTCAGCGTGAAGCATTCTACATTTACTTGCGATATTTATACATCAAGGCGGTCTTTAGCATGAAATAATTTGTCCTCAGTCACATTTGCTGTTTCTGTTAACAGAAAAGTAAAGACAAGCAAGTCACATGTTTAATTAGACAATTAAAAACTATTAACCTCTAATAATGTATGCTCTTGTCCGTAGATTAACACTAGAATCAAATTGTTCCTCATTTTACTGTGGTCAGTGTAGCCTCCTGGTAACCCTCCTGCATTCTGGAGCTGAGATTATATTAATGTATTCAACCAATAGCATGGAATATAGGCTATATATGTCACAGTCCAAATTTTAAAATCCAGGCCGATTTTAAATCTGCCTATGCAAGATAAAAATTTTGATTTGGTTTGGGCAAGATTGAAATTTTGATTTGGTCGAGGCAAACTTTAAATCTGCACCGGCACAATAAAACTTTTGATTTCGCCTAGACCAAATTAAAATCCTTCTAATATCATAATGAGATTGTAAGATTTAAAAGATGCCTAGACCAAATCAACATTTTAATCTTGCCTAGACCAAATCAAAATTGTAATCTTGCATAGGCAGATTTAAAATCCGCCTGGATTTTAATTTGAACTGTGACACACACATATATATAGAAACATCATTCATCACAACATTCACATCCAAAGTCTCTACAGGATGTACAGTTTTTGGCTTCCATCTATTGTCATTAGGTTATCATCCATCCATTACAAATCAAAGAGCATCCTGTCCACCTTGACTTGTGCATCACAAGATGACCTCTGTCCTGTCAGACAAATGACGAGAGGAAGCGCAGCGGTGCTTTCATAAAGCCGCAGCACTTGTAACAGGTGGCAAATTGCATTATGTTTCCATCTGAGCGGCAGAGATCAGGAACACAGATCCACACTCATATTTAAAAAAGAGAGGTTTCTAATCATCAGGATTGTCATGTGACATCATTTAGCTACAGAATGTAGCCTGTGTGAGCTGGACTGTGCATCAAAGCAAGAATAACAAGGTTTCAGAGATGGGTTTCGGTCAGCCGGCCCCAGTCGAGGGCCTACCTAACAAGGTTATGTGTTTAGAACCCAGGAGCTCCATGTCCTAAAGGTTGATGTGGGCAGTTAATCATAAAGGTTGTCCATTGAAAATACAGAGCCCATTCTTCCATGAACCCATTGTAGGCTTACAGTGTTTCCTAAAATGTTAAAAATACTTTAGCAACCTGGCAATTAAAGGATTCATATAAATATAAATATATATTCATTGTCTCTTGCTTTAGGGCAGGTATCACAAATAGCTGTTCCAAGGCTGAAAAATACAAAACTAAAAAAAACAGTGTCAACCCTAGAATGTTACCTTAGATACTGTCACATTTGCCATCTTTGTAAAGTTACTTTCCCTGAAGCTATACATCAGTGTTATGTTATGCGTCAGGGGACAGTATAAACTGCTTATTGACTTTTTGGCTGTAGGGGACAAATGCTTTTGAACACAGATGTACAGGTGCTCCTCCAAGGCAATTTAATTCTAAAATTTTTTGGCACTCCCTTTTATCAGAGCGGCAATCATTGTATGTGTAGGCTATCTGGCTGACAGTACAATCCCTTAAAGGAGAAAAGTGCACAAACATTTATTTTTCTTTCTTTTTTCCCTATCCTTTTTTTTTTTTTATGGAGAAAAACTGACCTGAAAGGCTGTGAGGATTTAATACATAATGTCTGTTGAGGAACATGTTCAGGTGACCTTTTTTTGTAAACAATAAAATTTGAACTTTGAAATGCATTCTTTCAGACGCAAAGTAGGAACAGGGAATACAATCTCCCTAAGTCAGCCTTAACCCCGAACCAACTACCTCTTCCTTTCTAATAACACAGTGTGGAGGTCATCCATTGTGCATCCGAGGCAGGCTGCTATGTGAAAACCAATAGTGTCTGACCCTCTTGCATGGCAGTTTCAGTTTTCTATGGAGGCTTTGGAAAGTGAAACAGTGTTTTAAATGTCAGAAGTAATTTCATACCCTCACGAGGGTGATATCTAAAGCGTGTCAGTGACTTAGACAAGAAATTTAAACAGTGTTTTTCATAACAGTGCCATATTAACAACAAGCTCGTGGTTATAATGGAAGTGTTATTTAACTTAAATCGTGCAAGTGTAATTGTAACTCAACAGACAGTGGATAGCATTACCATTTCTTCCCTTAAAGGCTCTTGTGTCGAAGGGCCTACTCCGAATGTTAAAAATGGATGGACTCCTTGTTTGGGTGGGAAGCGAGCCTGTGGCCATCAGCAGTAGATTTCACCACCAACACAATTTCTGCTGTTTTTTTTAGGTGAGTGTTTGTTTCAGTTTGTCACAAAGTAAAAGAATCACAACCTGCCCTGCAAGACTATTGACTCCCCACCCGATGTGTTTCAGCGTTAAATCAGATTCTCCATCTTAATGGAACTACCCTAAAGACACAAGGGTGAGATACAACTAAATAAAACATACATTTTCAGATTCTAAACCCTGTTTGTGTGGCTCTTATGTTTCCCTTGTGAGGCCTTCATTTGGGGGCATAGTCCTTGTTTTTCTTCTCATTCAGCTGCTTGTCAAAGTGACACCTGACAACCACTGATTTGCCAAGAGGGAGTACCACATTTGTAGGTCAGAGAACATGGCTTACTGTGTTTGCATCCCTGTCTCCTTTGAACTATGTTCATCTTGCAGCTAATTTGCAGGAGCAGTTCATGTTGACATTGTACTCTCAATGCAGAAGCGTGAAGTGTGCTGTAAAGTTAGGGTGGATTGAGACGTACATGTTGTTTGACCTCATTGTAGAGTACCATTTGTGTCTCTTCCCATGCTGTAATTCATCTCTTAATTTAAACATTTTATTATATTATATACTGACTGACACATTAAAGCAAATAAAAATCGAAAAATATCTCAGCTGGCATCTTGGCGTTGATTCTACCATCCTCTGGAACGCTGTTGTAGGGTTGGAGCACCATTCTTCCAATAGATATTCCCTCATTTGTGTGTGTTTGAATGTGTGGTCGCATTGGACCAAAATCTGGCACCTATATTCAATTGGGAATAATAGAGCTGGTGTGTGCAAAGTGATCACCCAGAACAACTTTGTATTGATTTGCAGTGACCCTTCCCTCTTAGGGGACCTGAACCATATCAGCAAAATACTCTTCTTTATTTAAAAAACCAAAAACCAAAACTTTCACTTACAACAGCAGTGATTGATTGCCTAAAAATAGCCATAACTGTGATTTACATGCAATTACAGCCGAAAACAAATTGAAAAAAAAACTTCTGTAAATATTTTAGAGATGTTTCTTGTTAACAGGTTGTTGATGAATTAATTAAAAACATATAATTATGTTTCTCCTACAGCATATGAAACTAATCAAAAATGTCCTTAATTCAAAAGAAAAATGATCAGATGTGATTCAGTGTCCCTTAAAAAAAAAGAAAAAAAAGTCCATAGTTTGTGATGCACAGATGATTTGTGAACTTTACTCTGAAGGATTTTGTTTGCTGTCGATTTTACTGACTTGGTAAAATCAAACATATGTTAATTATAGAAAAAAAAACAACTGTCAGCTTGTTAAATCACAGTAAATAAACTACTGTTTGATCCTGCTGTGCTGTTATTCTTACAGAAGAAAGTGGATTTCCTGCAGTCTTATGTGAAGGACCTCACAGACCAGAACCAGGTGCTGGCTCAGACCATTGAGGATTTGCAAAGGGAAGCTGGACACAGAGTTTCCAGTTTTGGAATGAAGCTACACACCTCTGATCGTGATTTGAACGTAAGACTTCGTTAATGCTTTCAACATTGGTCAAGTGTCAGGATTATTTTTTATATTTATTCCTGTGTTTAAATCAAATTTACAGTGATCTTTATGGTATTTATTTGAATCGTAAATGTTTGTGTTTTCAGAAACACCATCTGTAGGAAATGTAGAGTCTGTGGCAAAAGGATTTCAGTGCATAGAGCGCTTGAGAGTATTTTAGTGGCATATTTTACAGTGTACATCGTGCCAACAAAGTCATTATATATGCAGATAACATAAATACAACAACATTATCAGTTTTTGATAAAACACTATTTTTTAAACTTGGATTGTAATCTGTAAAGTTTACCTCAAGATACCCACGACTCCCCTTGTGTGTGCCACCACACATGTATGAAACAAGAGCATGAATTACTTGCAGTCTCAAAGTAAAGGTAAAAGAATAATCAGACTTAGCTGTCTAGATGTAACCCTGCAAAGATTTGCAACATGGATTCTGAATACAAACCTAACTTACATCCTTTGGATATATTCAACGGAATGTTCTTTGCAACCTTCCTATTTAACCAGAGACATATATTTAGTATTCTGCTGTTAGTGGAGCAGAATATGTCAATAGAGTAAGAAGTCGTTTTGTAAACAATATCAAGCATGCATAACCACCATGGTGAAAGACTTCATTTAAAAGCGAGAAAATAAGAACGAGAGAAGAGAACAGTTTATGGTTTTCTTTTCTTTTCCTTTCTGTAATATTGTCGTCTCCCGGATCTTTTGTTTGTGTACGCCAATGGAGGCCAAAGCATCTCTGTCTTTGTGGAATCCAATCAGCAGTGCTCACACTGAATGTGGTTAACAGTTCAGTCCATGGAAATCCCTCATTGTTTAGACAGAGTAATAGCACTATGTTGAATAATGGCATTATAGAAAAGCAATTAGGAAGAGCATGGAGTTGTGCAACAGTTTGCTGTTTTTACGCACAATGACAAGCATTCTTTGTTAAACATACAGTAAACTCTTGAGTGTAAGCTGAAGAAGGAGTCAAGCAATGAAGGTCTGCTCTACTTACCTTTGAAGGTTCCAGCCTCGACCATTTTCTGCATGAAACTACAAATTACCATTCATTCTTAGTCAACTCGAGGTGAAAAGTTGTGCGCAAAAATGTCAGAACAAACTTTAGACAGAATAATGTGTTTTCTTTTCCACGATTGCATCAACATAAGGCAGTACTAAAGACATCATAACCATGTGATGTAGTGACCTTAACATTATTGTTCCATTGCAGTTATGGCCAGGCTTCTATCAATATTCACTCTTCTGAGTGGATTTTACACACAGAAAAGTAATTATGGCCTATTATACATCAACGTACTTACCTGCTATTATGGAGAAGGTCAGAGGGCTAGCTTTGTGTGTTCTCCCTGCTTCTGCAAAGGTCACTCTAATACAATGCTTTGCATTTCTCAGCATTCAAAGCTGTCAAATTTTTTAAACTTAATTTTCTTCAATGACATTGCTTTAGTACCGAAAAGTACCAACGTCTTTGCAGTTTCTTTTCCATTGCACTTTACCCGATGTATTTGTAGAATATGCTATACAATATACAATAAATGTTTCCTACAATCTGTAGCACAATATGTGCCTATGGAGAAGTGGAGGCAGCTGAGACATTTATTAATTTTCACATGCATCATCTGTAATGGAATATAAGGCACTTTACTAATTTCTTTGTCTCTCTCCTGCTGATTAAAAAATACAGACAAAGGGTAAGGGAGTAGGTGAAGACCAATCTGTAAAACTCATTAAAGTGACATTCTCTTAGTTGCCAAGAGTCCTTCAGTTCATCCAATTGCTTGATTTTAGTATTGTTTGAGGCGACGACAGCTTCTTTTGGCAGCTGAAGAGACACAGTGTGAGAAAACATAATAGTTTGTTGCCACTATCGACCCATTTTCGGAGCTTTTGAATGTCCATTTTCACCCGTCTTAAATGATGCTCTCACTGTCTGTTTATGTTACTTTGTATGTTTTCAGGGTCCAGATTGGTAAACAAATACAAACAAATGGACTGACTCACTCAACAGTCTATTAGGGCAGTCAGGGGACAACAGTGTGTTTCTGCTCTGATGTCCATAATGTAAAATCCAATCAAATGAAGAGCATTTAGAGCTACTTATGGACCGTTCCACCATGTAAACGATGCAATGAGCTCTGTAATAGGAGCTTGGCTAACGTCTGATTGAATCGTAGTGTATGGCCTTGTTGATGCACAATAGGCCTGAACTGTAATGGACACTAAACAGAGTTTGTTTTGTGGTCATAATATCATGAAATCCAAAGCTTGTATTCTTTGTTCTAGACTGCTGCAATTAGCCCATGGTCTATTTGTCATTTACAGGCAGACTGATATGGTATCACCATATCCCCTGCATACAATGCAAACCTGAATTAACAATACTTAGTGAATATTACCGAGTACCTGTTTTAAAACATGGTACCATTTAAGTAGGTTATAGGACAATACCCTTTGCATCTGGGAAGTTACGACTTCATCGTAAGATTTTTTTTCTTTTCCACAAATATGAATCCTTTTTACTTGGTAATTCTCAGTTGGAAAACATTCTGCAGCAAGGTGAAACCTGCATTAGTGATTCTACACTAAAATGGCCAAGGTCTTTACATCGCGCTAAGTAACAATCTTTAACAGCAAAAGATGTCATGCTCTGCAGTAGTGTAGTATTCACTGGCACAGGGTATTGTAGATTCTAAAGTGTGTAGATGTATAGTTTGTTGGCCCCTAGGCAGCTAGAAAAGGATTGTTCCACACTGAGAACATGTATTAGTGGTAGACTTCCAGCCCTTATGGTGCTGATATATTGAATGGTTAGCTCTTTTTCCTTTAACTCTGGCTGGACAATCATTTGTACAATCTGAGGATTATTAATCGTATAATGTAAAAACAAAAATGGCACTTTATTGATCCCTGTAGTAATGTTTTTTCCTCTAGTTTTATTCCAGGCAGGTCAAAGGCACACGGGCAGCTATAGAGCAACTTCTGGAGGTGGCAGGAATTCAGTATCTTGTTTAAAGACACATTTGTTGGCTGGATGGTTGCCAGCTATGGGTTTCAATGACAGTCGGAGGATGAATAAAGCACTTGTCCTTAATTTAAGACACTAGTGCAGTGCCCGTTCAAAATGTGCAGTTTGCACTGTGTGTGTGTGTGTGTGTTTGTGTGTGTGTGTGTGTGTTGCTGTAATAAACAAAAGATGCTCGAAGTGAACCTGAGGAGCAGAGCGAACCAACACACATAACGTCACTGCTTAGGAAAGAGGACAGCTATAAGGATATATTCACTGAAATGAGCGTGTGAATACATGTGTGTGTCGTTGCTTATAAACAAAAAAAACTCCTGAAGTGAGCCTGAGGAGCAGACGTAAGGCTAACGGAGCCGGCCATTGCTAAATGATCAAATGGGAAGTCGACGTTTATTAGTAGCTTCCTTTAACATAACCACTGTGGGGACGAAATAGATTGTGGGATTGCTGATTAGTTACCAAAGATAGCAACCAAAACAGCTTCACATCGGGCGGTGCTCATTGACACCCGGGGAAGTGAAGAAGACTTTGGTTACAGTATCCAGCAACAAGATTGAATGAGCTGTGGGCTGTGGGGATCTGCTGGGGAAGTAATTAAAAACCGATGTGAAGGCACTGTCAACGCCTCCTGATGACGGAGGAGGACATCATTGAAAACATACTATTGTGAGAGCGTAGCAGAGGTTATTTTTAGCCGAAATGTGAGGACCGAGCTTAAAAACGACTTCACACTCAGCAGGGCACACTCATTGAGTCCCCAGCAATACACCTGTGAAGGGTGAAGGAGATTGGACACACACACACACACACACACACACACACACACACACACACTCCTTCCTTTATAGTTTGATATAATTAGGAAAATATTGATAACCAGGCTCAGAAAGAGATCACAGATCAAAATTTTGTTCAAGATACCTTAATTAGTTATCAACAGTTCACTTTTTGCATCCATCAATTGATATACCTTTAAAGAGCCATTTGACACATTTCAGTTGAATTGTGTGAATCTGTGTGCTTGTGTAATTGTGCGTCTGTTTGGAACATGTTTTGATTCCCACAGTTTAGCCCTTGGCCTGCAGGGCAGTATGGGGGGACTGTGGGCTACGGGGGTGGGATCAGGATGCCTCAGAACAGATCAGGAGGAATCATTTGGGATCACAGGCCCTCTCTTTGATCTACTCATCCTGCCATCTCACATCCCTACACATGCCAATTGTTACCGTTCCAATCACAATCAAAACATCTACTTAGTAGGAAAATGCAATTTTGAGTCCCTTCATTGGAGATGTATAATATTCTTGTTGTGTTGTGGTTATATTGGAAATATCCCATTTGTTACTGTTCCTTGTTTATAAAAGACAGGGTTAACAAAGAAGACCTCATTTCCTTTTCCTTGTTCGTATCTGAGGAGAGAACAAATAGGTTACAACAAGTGTTGACAACAAATTTGCTAAGTGAATGCCAGAAATGTCTCCAGCTGTGATGAGAGACCTCCATTTTTTTTCTTTTTCTTTTTTTTTTGTGATTCACAAAGTGGCTATTTATGACATTCCCATAAACCACAGAACAGGGGTTATTAAAATCTTAAGGCCTGGGAACCAAATGAGAAAATTGGTCTCATGACTTAATCCATGCTAATGAGAACATAATTTTTCTTGTCATGCGGAGCACTCTTCATAGTAGCACTCTTAAGACCCATTTTGCTTCCTGGGATGTGGTTCAAGAAAACAGTGCATTAATGAAGAAGCCTGTAAGTTACACCATTACTGTTGGTTGAAAACCTTTTGATCTCCAAAAGAGGAACGTTTCTGGAAATAATAAAATGGCCCGACTTTCAGAATGACCACAAGTTATTGAAATCATACAGCGGGTTAGCTTCACGACCGTACATACTGATGTATTAAAATCAGCTTTA